TCTTCCTGTCTGTCCTCTTCCTGTCCGTCCTCTTCCTGTCTGTCCTCTTCCTGTCCGTCCTCTTCCTGTCTGTCCTCTTCCTGTCTGTCCTCTTCCCATTCCGTCCTCTTCCTGTCTGTCCTCTTCCCATTCCGTCCTCTTCCTGTCTGTCCTCTTCCCATTCTGTCCTCTTCCTGTCTGTCTTCTTCCCATTCTGTCCTCTTCCTGTCTGTCCTCTTCCCATTCTGTCCTCTTCCTGTCTGTCCTCTTCCTTTCCGTCCTCTTCCCATTCTGTCCTCTTCCTTTCCGTCCTCTTCCTGTCTGTCCTCTTCCTGTCTGTCTTCTTCCCTTCTCTCCTCTTCCTGTCTGTCCTCTTCCCATTCCGTCCTCTTCCTGTCTGTCCTCTTCCTGTACGTCCTCTTCCTGTCTGTCTTCTTCCTGTCCGTCCTCTTCCTGTCTGTCCTCTTCCTTTCCGTCCTCTTCCTGTCTGTCCTCTTCCTGTCCGTCCTCTTCCTGTCTGTCTTCTTCCCATTCTGTCCTCTTCCTGTCCGTCCTCTTCCTGTCTGTCCTCTTCCTGTCCGTCCTCTTCCTGTCTGTCCTCTTCCTGTCCGTCCTCTTCCTGTCTGTCCTCTTCCTGTCTGTCCTCTTCCCATTCTGTCCTCTTCCTGTCTGTCCTCTTCCTGTCCGTCCTCTTCCTGTCTGTCCTCTTCCTGTCCGTCCTCTTCCTGTCTGTCCTCTTCCTGTCCGTCCTCTTCCTGTCTGTCTTCTTCCCATTCTGTCCTCTTCCTGTCTGTCCTCTTCCTTTCCGTCCTCTTCCTGTCTGTCCTCTTCCCATTCTGTCCTCTTCCTGTCTGTCTTCTTCCCATTCTGTCCTCTTCCTGTCTGTCCTCTTCCCATTCTGTCCTCTTCCTGTCTGTCCTCTTCCTTTCCGTCCTCTTCCTGTCTGTCCTCTTCCCATTCTGTCCTCTTCCTTTCCGTCCTCTTCCTGTCTGTCCTCTTCCTGTCTGTCTTCTTCCCATTCTGTCCTCTTCCTGTCCGTCCTCTTCCTGTCTGTCCTCTTCCTGTCCGTCCTCTTCCTGTCTGTCCTCTTCCTGTCCGTCCTCTTCCTGTCTGTCCTCTTCCTGTCTGTCCTCTTCCCATTCTGTCCTCTTCCTGTCTGTCCTCTTCCTGTCCGTCCTCTTCCTGTCTGTCCTCTTCCTTTCCGTCCTCTTCCTGTCTGTCCTCTTCCTGTCCGTCCTCTTCCTGTCTGTCTTCTTCCCATTCTGTCCTCTTCCTGTCTGTCCTCTTCCTTTCCGTCCTCTTCCTGTCTGTCCTCTTCCCATTCTGTCCTCTTCCTGTCTGTCTTCTTCCCATTCTGTCCTCTTCCTGTCTGTCCTCTTCCCATTCTGTCCTCTTCCTGTCTGTCCTCTTCCTTTCCGTCCTCTTCCTGTCTGTCCTCTTCCCATTCTGTCCTCTTCCTTTCCGTCCTCTTCCTGTCTGTCCTCTTCCTGTCTGTCCTCTTCCCATTCCGTCCTCTTCCTGTCTGTCCTCTTCCTGTACGTCCTCTTCCTGTCTGTCTTCTTCCCATTCTGTCCTCTTCCTGTCCGTCCTCTTCCTGTCTGTCCTCTTCCTTTCCGTCCTCTTCCTGTCTGTCTTCTTCCCATTCTGTCCTCTTCCTGTCCGTCCTCTTCCTGTCTGTCTTCTTCCCATTCTGTCCTCTTCCTGTCTGTCCTCTTCCTGTCCGTCCTCTTCCTGTCTGTCTTCTTCCCATTCTGTCCTCTTCCTGTCTGTCCTCTTCCTGTCTGTCTTCTTCCTGTCCGTCCTCTTCCTGTCTGTCCTCTTCCTTTCCGTCCTCTTCCTGTCTGTCCTCTTCCTGTCCGTCCTCTTCCTTTCTGTCTTCTTCCCATTCTGTCCTCTTCCTGTCCGTCCTCTTCCTGTCTGTCCTCTTCCTGTCCGTCCTCTTCCTGTCTGTCCTCTTCCTGTCCGTCCTCTTCCTGTCTGTCCTCTTCCCAATCTGTCCTCTTCCTGTCTGTCCTCTTCCTGTCTGTCCTCTTCCTGTCCGTCCTCTTCCTGTCTGTCCTCTTCCTGTCCGTCCTCTTCCTGTCTGTCCTCTTCCTGTCCGTCCTCTTCCTGTCTGTCCTCTTCCCAATCTGTCCTCTTCCTGTCTGTCCTCTTCCTGTCCGTCCTCTTCCTGTCTGTCCTCTTCCTGTCCGTCCTCTTCCTGTCTGTCCTCTTCCTGTCTGTCCTCTTCCCAATCTGTCCTCTTCCTGTCTGTCCTCTTCCTGTCCGTCCTCTTCCTGTCTGTCCTCTTCCTGTCCGTCCTCTTCCTGTCTGTCCTCTTCCTGTCTGTCCTCTTCCTGTCCGTCCTCTCTTCCTGTCTGTCCTCTTCCTTTCCGTCCTCTTCCTGTCTGTCCTCTTCCTGTCCGTCCTCTTCCTGTCTGTCTTCTTCCCATTCTGTCCTCTTCCTGTCCGTCCTCTTCCTGTCCGTCCTCTTCCTGTCTGTCCTCTTCCTGTCCGTCCTCTTCCTGTCTTCTTCTTCTGTCCTCTTCCCATTCTGTCCTCTTCCTCTTCCTTCTGTCCTTCCGTCTGTCCTCTTCCTTTCTGTCCTCTTCTCTTCCTTCCTGTCCTCCTCCTTCCTGTCCTCTTCCTGTCCGTCCTCTTCCTGTCTGTCCTCTTCCTGTCCGTCCTCTTCCTGTCTGTCCTCTTCCCATTCTGTCCTCTTCCTGTCTGTCCTCTTCCTGTCTGTCCTCTTCCCAATCTGTCCTCTTCCTGTCTGTCCTCTTCCCATTCTGTCCTCTTCCTGTCTGTCCTCTTCCTGTCCGTCCTCTTCCTGTCTGTCCTCTTCCCAATCTGTCCTCTTCCTGTCTGTCCTCTTCCTGTCCGTCCTCTTCCTGTCTGTCTTCTTCCCATTCTGTCCTCTTCCTGTCCGTCCTCTTCCTGTCTGTCCTCTTCCTTTCCATCCTCTTCCTGTCTGTCCTCTTCCCATTCTGTCTTCTTCCTGTCTGTCTTCTTCCCATTCTGTCCTCTTCCTGTCCGTCCTCTTCCTGTCTGTCCTCTTCCTGTCCGTCCTCTTCCTGTCTGTCTTCTTCCCATTCTGTCCTCTTCCCGTCCGTCCTCTTCCCGTCCGTCCTCTTCCTGTCCGTCCTCTTCCTGTCTGTCCTCTTCCTGTCCGTCCTCTTCCCGTCCGTCCTCTTCCTGTCCGTCCTCTTCCTGTCTGTCTTCTTCCTGTCTGTCCTCTTCCTGTCTTTCTTCTTCCCATTCTGTCCTCTTCCTGTCTGTCCTCTTCCTGTCCGTCCTCTTCCTGTCTGTCTTCTTCCTGTCTGTCCTCTTCCTGTCTTTCTTCTTCCCATTCTGTCCTCTTCCTGTCTGTCCTCTTCCTGTCCGTCCTCTTCCTGTCTGTCCTCTTCCCAATCTGTCCTCTTCCTGTCCGTCCTCTTCCTGTCTGTCTTCTTCCCATTCTGTCCTCTTCCTGTCCGTCCTCTTCCTGTCTGTCTTCTTCCCATTCTGTCCTCTTTCTGTCCGTCCTCTTCCTGTCTGTCTTCTTCCTGTCTGTCCTCTTCCTGTCTGTCCTCTTCCTGTCTGTCCTCTTCCCTTCTCTCCTCTTCCTGTCTGTCCTCTTCCCATTCTGTCCTCTTCCTGTCTGTCCTCTTCCTGTCTTTCTTCTTCCCATTCTGTCCTCTTCCTGTCTGTCCTCTTCCTGTCCGTCCTCTTCCTGTCCGTCCTCTTCCTGTCTGTCCTCTTCCCAATCTGTCCTCTTCCTGTCCGTCCTCTTCCTGTCTGTCTTCTTCCCATTCTGTCCTCTTCCTGTCCGTCCTCTTCCTGTCTGTCTTCTTCCCATTCTGTCCTCTTTCTGTCCGTCCTCTTCCTGTCTGTCTTCTTCCCATTCCGTCCTCTTCCTGTCTGTCCTCTTCCCATTCCGTCCTCTTCCTGTCTGTCCTCTTCCCAATCTGTCCTCTTCCTGTCCGTCCTCTTCCCATTCTGTCCTCTTCCTGTCTGTCCTCTTCCCAATCTGTCCTCTTCCTGTCTGTCCTCTTCCCAATCTGTCCTCTTCCTGTCTGTCCTCTTCCCGTCTGTCCTCTTCCTGTCTGTCCTCTTCCTGTCTGTCCTCTTCCCAATCTGTCCTCTTCCTGTCTGATCACACTTTGATTTCCAGTCTGGTTTTTCCAAACAGATTTTCCTCTGTGATTAATGGCTGCCTTTCCTCTGCCTGACCAGATTTATAGCCGGGTCCTTTTTCTTCTCTGAGGTCAATAGGAGGATGTCTTTACGATGTCCTCATTCCTGAGACGCCTTCTGACTGCTCAGCCTCTTACTTTCAGCTTTTCACAAACAGTTTGACATGAAAGGTTTTGGAGGAGCTCATTGTTTCTTCATCAGAACCTTCGGGAACCGGGACCAGAGTGTTTCACGTCTCCATCACTTCTTTTCACTTTTTGAGAGGCACTTTTAAAGTGGGAGATGAAAGAGGTCGGGTGGAGGTCGGGTGGAGGTCTGGTGGAGGTCTGGTGGAGGTCAGGTGGAGGTCTGGTGGAGGTCGGGTGGAGGTCGGGTGGAGGTCGGGTGGAGGTCGGGTGGAGGTCGGGTGGAGGTCAGGTGGAGGTCGGGTGGAGGTCGGGTGGAGGTCAGGTGGAGGTCAGGTGGAGGTCGGGTGGAGGTCGGGTGGAGGTCAGGTGGAGGTCGGGTGGAGGTCTGGTGGAGGTCTGGTGGAGGTCAGGTGGAGGTCGGGTGGAGGTCGGGTGGAGGTCGGGTGGAGGTCTGGTGGAGGTCAGGTGGAGGTCAGGTGGAGGTCGGGTGGAGGTCGGGTGGAGGAGCTCTTTGCTAGGTGCGCCAGGAGCCCTGACAGGTGGTGCACATGAAGGAGCAGCTGCTCTGGCTGTAACAAACACAAACGTCCATGAAAAGCCAAGAGATTCATTGTTCTGCTGCTGAACTTTGACCTTTTGGCCTCTCAGCTCTTCTTCAGGAAGCCTTCAATCTTTAGGCTTCTGGTTCTTCTTCTCTCTGTTGTTTCTCTGACCTTTGACCCGATCGTCTTTTTGCAGGTCGGCCCGGCCGGCGGCTCCTGATTGGTTCCCACCGAGGCAGAGGGACACAGCGCCGCCTGCAGGTAAGACGGCTTCTACTTTCAGTCATGTGTCTAAAGCAGAGGTCAGAGGCCTCTCTGCCCTTCATTGTGTTGTGACCCTTGACCTTTCCTGCAGGTGGCAGGTGACATACTCACAGGCCTCCGACTGCCCCGGGGCAGCTGAGGCTACAATTCAGTAGCTCATGTCAACTGAACGCCTGCTGAATGAACGGCTTTGGAGTCCTCTGGGCTGGATAAACCGGCTCTATTGCAGGACATTTTCTGCTTTTATACGTCTTTTGCTGTATTTCTGATATTGCGTGCTGATTGGTTAATCATTTAATTGTCAGAATTATTGATTTCTGTGGTTAGCTCAGAGAGAACAAAAAGCTTCTCTCACTGACAGCTGCTTATCTGTGCATGCAGGGCAGATTAAATCCAGGCAGATTAATCTGCATGCAGCTCATAAACTTGTTTTTGGTCATTTTTGTTCTTGCATTCATTTTCTCTCGGCTTCAGATAAAAGTGATGAACTCTGACCCCGGGCTCGCCCTGCACCTGGACCTTTGCGTGTTTGTTTGACACCAGCTAATTGGACTTTGTTCTGAGAACCAACTGGTGGGGAGGATGGGGGTCTCGTTAGGAGCAGCAGGAGTCTTAACGAGCTGACTGGGGAACCAGAAACAGGCTGGAAGCGAGCGGCGTCCTGGTCTGAGTCTGACTGAGGCACAAAGCTCAGAACGTCAGCAGAACCTTGGACTGCCTGGTTCTGGCTGGCTCACAGCAGCTAATGCTAACCTCTTGCTAGCCATCCAGTCAGACCTGCTTCACCAGGTCTTACTTTCATTCTTCCCCCAGTTTGTCCCAGTTTGTCCCAGTTTGTCCCAGTGGCAGTGGCCATCCCAGGGGATCTGTGTAGTGAGCAGAACCCGACCAGCTGGACGGTCCAGTCTGTTTGATGGTGGTTAGCCGGGTTCTGATGGTTCTGATGTTAGCGTCGTTGATGATTTGCTGGAGACTAACTGCAGCTAAAGTGAGACCAGATACTTTGCTGAGAGACAAATTATGGGATGGCGTTAAAAACAGAACTAATAAAACCATTTATCCACCAATCAACCTGATCAGCGTTTCTAAACAGAACCAGCAGAAAACAGGAACTTGCTTCAGTGTTTATATCAGCGTCTAGTTTTAGCCGCTAACGCTTCGCTCTGATCATCAATGATTCCAACGCATTACGTTTAACGCAGTTGGTCGCAGGAAGTGGGTTTCTCTATAGAAACGAACTGAAAGCTTTGAAATCACCAAACGGCAGAGATGGGTGACGACTCGCCGTGACCTGGTGACCCTGCTCAGGTCGTTCGGACCGGCGGACTGCTGAGGTGCAGCATCCGCCGGGGAAGCCATGTTGGATTAGCTCTACTTCCTGTTCTGATCATTGTTTGATTTTCTGGTTCTGCTGCGCTGCTGGTTCTGGTTGACCCGCTTGTCCTCCCGTCCTCAGCGTGTCTGTGGAAGCGTTTGGAGCGATGGTGGCGTTTGCCATCTGTCCGTTTCCTGTTGGTCCTGAACTGCAGCGTTAGGGAGACTGTTCACCGGTTATGCACACAACGCTTTATTATTGCTCACCAAGCAAAATGAGACGCATCTCATCCAAACATGCCAACTGGAAGACATAAACCTGAACACACAGATCGTCCTCCAGAGACGCTGGAGACACGATACAGAGGACAATCAGGGGATTTGAGCTGCAGGTTTCTGATTCAAAGGCTGCATGAAATGTTTGGTTCTTCTCTGTGATTCTGGTGCATCAAAATGACTTAATTAATAAAAGATGCTGCCTGTTTGCTCATTAGCATGAAGTAAACAGGCTCTCTGCTGAGATCTGATTGGAGGTTCAAATGCCACCTTCATTTAGTTTGTTGCTTCTGCTTTAAAGAATTATGTAAAGTTATTCCAGACTGAGTGTTTGGCTCTCAGCTGATTGAACATGCAGCAGCAGATCAGCTCACACGACGATTATTAATATTCATTATTACACGTTAATGATAACCGGCTTGGCTAAATAATCAGACACAGCAGCTGGGTTCATCATCACTGTTCGGCTAGCGCAGCAGAACCAGAACCATCTGACCCAACGGGTCACCAGACGTTTCTATGTTAGAAAGAAACTGCAGAGTAGCTGCTTCATCATATCATCAGATCATCATCTGATGATATGATTCTCATCAGATTGTCATCAGATCTTCTTCAGGTCGTCGGTGTTTTTTCTCATGCTTGAAGCTCCTCTGGCCTTTGAATCGAGGAGGTTCAAAGGTCGGAGGTGAATGTCGCAGCAGGTGTTGTGGATTCTACACAGTGAGATATCTGCGATCAATACGCTCATCTTTGATGAGATCCTAGGATCTCCATGACCTCTGACCTTATTCAGATGTTCATGAACACATAAATTAGGGTAATTATTTTTATCTATGCTGATTGTTACATTTTTGATGTTTCCGGCGGAAACCAGATCAAAGGTCAAAGTTCAGCCTGCTTTTATCCATGAGTTTCAGTTATTTGTCCACCTGAGCAGCTGCAGCTCCTCCTCTTTCTGTTTTATTGTGACTTTATTTGATGAAGATCTGCTTGTTAAAATATTCACCACGCTCATCCCGTCGGACGGCGGCGGAACCAGGAGGTCCAAAGCGCCGCCGACTTCCTCCTGGAAATTTAAAATGGATCGGGTCGGAACCGGACCTTCCGGCGCCGCTAATCCCAGACAGCAAGTCAGCCTGGAGCAAAGTGTGAAGAACAGCTGCAGAGGAAGAGGAGGATGAAGAGGAGCTGCGTTTCTACTAAGTGCGGCGGATCGACTCCAGGTGTGATCTGGTTCTGCTGCTGAGCCATTTTTGCTGTAGTCCAGGCTTTGACTAGGACCCATTTCTCACTCTTCAGGCCTTTTTGCATAAACATCAAATGGATTTAAACGTTTGACCAGAGAAGAAGTCATCAGTTACAGCGCCACCCGCAGGCTCAACGGAAGCCTGCAGCAGGGGGCGGGGCTTATGTTAGCATGTGTGCTGCTGTTAGCCGCTCCGTTCCACAGTGAATGAGAAATTATCTCATAGCCGCCTTGATTCCACCCCATCAACTGTTTGCTTCTAATTTCTCTGATTTCCAGTGATGGACCCAAACCGACCAGAACCAGAAACCACAGGAGCGCGATCCGTCAGAGCGGTTCTGTTCCAGCCTTGATCATCAGTCTGAACTGCCTCCAGTTATAGATTAGAATCTTATCAATAAGATGAGAAGGTTTCAGGTTGTGCTTCCTGTTCTCCTGAATATTCACGTTTTGCTGCAGAGACGGAGCTTCAGGTTCATCCAGGTCAGGGGTCACCAACCCGGTCGCCGTGGCGACATTGTCAGCCGCCCACGGAGCAAGTTCTGAAAATAGCCATAAATTATTTCATTTATTGTTTTTTTACATTGAAGTCATAACATTTGTTAATATTTAGAATTTGTATCAAAATGAAATGATAAAAAATGTTTCAAATAAATTCCTTTATGCATAAATCTCTTCTATGGTTAAAGTTCAGAACTATGCGCAGACGCCTGCAGGACTTTGTCGGAGGGCGGCTGCACAGCAGCGCCTGCGGCTGCACGGTTGCGGCTGCACAGCTGCGCCTGCGGCTGCAGCCGTACGGCAGCGCCTGCGGCTGCACGGTTGCGGCTGCACGGTTGCGGCTGCACGGTTGCGCGGTTGCTCTGCCTACCTTACGGTTTTCCATGAAGTACAAAAAGAAATGAATAACTTCTTAAATTTTTATTGTCAAACCTTCTTTACAATGAACAAAATAGCGGAGAAAAAAAAAGATCTTATGTGTCAAAACATCTTGTATGTAGCGCACAGCTAAGTCTGTGGGGGTCAAAGGCACGCCAAAGCTTAAATCTTATTGGTCCATTTGCGTTTGTTTATTTCGTGGCTTGGCACTTTTCCTGTAAGCAAAAAATGAATGAGCGGAGATTGAACCTCCCGGATCAGGAGCATAATATTCCAAAACAAGCTGATAAATCGACTGGAGACGAAGCGACTCCTCCCCCCTCCCTCTCTGCTCCTCCAAGCATTCACAGGATTCAATGGATACCAATGAAGAAATGTCTTCTGGACCAGAGTTTCTTAAATTTACAGATGGGATGAATCAACAGGTTCCCTCGGCACGTCTCTCCTTAGTACTCACGTAGCAGACCTCACTACATTTAAGCCACCTGCCCCTGACTTTCCAGAGGTCAGAGGTCAGGGACCAGATATTATCTTTACACCCGTCTCCATCCAGAATGTGTCTGGCCCACGGCTTCTGCAGAACAGGACATTACCTGTCCGGATCACTACAAGAAAATGTACAAAAACCAGAAATATGAAATACAGCGGTCCTAATTCAAACCTCAGACTGAAAATCTTTTGGCCTCCAAGCCACTTAAAGTAGTTATTTTAAATATCAGATCACTTTGTGCTAAAGCTCTGTTAATTAATGATTTCATCACTGAGTATAATGTTGATGTTTCTGACAGAAACATGGTTGAATGACAATAATGACCAAATTGTACTCATTGAATCAGCGCCTCCTAACTACAATTTTTTAAGTGAGAATAGAAAACATAAAAAAGGAGGAGGCGTGGCTTCTATATTTAAAAATACCATAAACTGTAGTAAAATTTCTTTCGGTCATTTCACATCTTTTGAGTATCTTGGAATTCAGGTTAAAGGCTTCAAACAAACTTTGACACTAACTTTATACAAAACTCCAGCATATGTGGAAAATTTCTTTACTGACTTGAATGATCTATCAATCATATAGATATTGATTATGATTGTTTAATAACTGTTGGTGATTTCAACATTCATGTGGAAAAACCCCAAGACAGAGGAGCAAAAAAGCTTTTAATATTTTAGAAAATTTTGGTTTAACACGACATGTGAAACAAGCAACACACACTCAA